GAAAGAGATTAAATACAACATATAGGTTACCTAGGACAATTAGAACAGCAGCCAAGAGAAACAGCTTACACTTTCCCACTTGGAAAAACATTAAATGATTATTTATTATGAATGAAAATTTGCATAGATACAATTATAAATAATAAAACAGTAGGTTGAAACTTTGGCTACTTAAAAATATTGTTAAACTAAAAATATTATCAAGTTAATTTTTTGTAAAATTAGACTAATGGATAAGCTAATTACTACATTAATGATTTCTTTACAATGAGATGGGATAAGATTTAATATTACATATTTTCATTAAATAGTAGAGTAAATGTTATTTTACATATTCTCTAATTTTAAAGTGTTAATTCTTTGGGGGGATGCCAAGAAGGGAAATAACTTGACCGCATAGAATCTCTGATTTTAGTTTTTGAGGAATCTCCACATTGATTTCCACAGTACTTTCACCAGTTTACCCTTTCACCAACAGTGGAGAAGTTTCCTTTTTCCACACACCCCTACAAGCATTTGTTATTGGTTGTTTTCTTGATAACAGCCATTCTTTCTGGAGTGAGATGAAACCTCAGCATTGTTTTAATTTGCATTTCTCAAACGATCAGTGATGTTGAACATTTTTTCATATATTTATTTGCCATTTCTACTTCTTCATCTGAGAAGTGTCTATTCATTTCAGGCCTTGGAAACAATCCACATGTCCATCAATGGATAAATGGATAAAGAAGATGTTGCCAGGGATTTAGCTCATTGGTTCCACCGCCTGCCTCACAAGTGCAAGGACCCAAGTTCAATCCCCAGTACCAAAAAATAAAATAAAGAAGTCTATTTTTTTGTATAGTGAAGTACTACTCTGTCACAGAGAAAGATAAGCTTGAGACATTTCTAACTAAATGGACGCACCTTGAGACCCTACTCTGAAGTGAAATGAATTGGACACATATATTCAAATATCACAGTTTCTCTGGTGTGAGAAACTGAAAGTGTAAATAAGGGCCAAACTGTACTGGAGATATTGGGAAGTGGGAAAAGCATGTTCAGATCACATGGGGAACAGGGAGAGGGAATAGAGAAAAGAAAGAAGGGACAAGAAAAAAGAATAGAAGGAAAAATAGAAGTAAAGCTTTTGTAAATAAACAGGGGTTAAAGGGAGGGGAGGAAAATAAAAAATAGAATAAGCAAGATATATCATATACAGGTACAAATTCCCTTTGTTGGACGCTATCATCATGTGTATCTAAAGTGTACCAAGAAAGTAGAGACAGAAAAACATTTTAAAGTGTTTAGGTTTTCATGGGAACCAAATAATTCTTTGGACATAATAGCAATTCAAATATTTGGAGAATTAAAAAAAAAGACATTGAAATGTGTAGGCTTTCGTTAGCCTATTATATTCATCTAGGATTTCACTGTGAGTGGTATAAATGTTAGCTTGTTTGATTTTAAAACAGCATCATTTGATTTTGGAATTAGAATCTCTTGTTCATGGGGGAAGGGAACTGCTTGATGCAGACACAGTATCAGCAGCAACAGCTTAGAACTAACAACCTGTTCAAAAGGAAAATAGCATAAAGATATAAAGTACAGAGCAAGAATCAAAGATGTAGTGGTCTGAGACCATTTAGTATAAGAACAAGGGTCCCTAAGGGCTTTACTACAGAAATAGGGCTATGAAATAAATGATAGTTTTAATGATGATCATGAATTATCAATAAAAATATGAATATTCTGTTATGTCCCTTTGAATAAGACTAGATGTTATGTAATCTCTTTGTCTTTTTTAAAGTGTCAGTTCAAGACTTAAAAATGCTAATGATTTAAAAAACAAATAGGGATTGTGCAGAAAGCTTGCCTACACAGAACATATTTTTCCTAAAGGCCATATATACAGCATATATTAAAATAATTCTTCCATTCTCCTAACTCAGCAAAGTAGTGGATTTGTATAGTAGTGAAAGAAGAAGTGATCCAAAAAAGATTTTTTATTGGAAAAGTTGTGGTGTTGTCATGGAAAAGGGAAGAGTCGGGCTAACAATACAGAAACATCTTTTAGCCTGAACGTTCTGCCAGGCTGGAAAAGAATGTCATCTTATGCTGTCAGAAAGTCTCTGCCTTGCATATTTTAAACAACTGTTTTCTAGAAAGCAGGTGCCTTGGAAATATGGAGTTTGCGAAAGAGATAGTGTTCAGTAAGACTAGGCTTCTAGCTGTTACCTATTGGCTCTTCCAGTTTTCTTCTTGATTGTGTGCTGTTTATGCAGAATGAAAGAATTTAAAAAGCCATTTATATCATAAAACACACCCACATACAAACACATACACTCCTGCATTTTCACGTTCTCCCTCACTGTTTTCAGGCTCTAAGGTTCACAGCAATGTCATAAAGCAAGAGCTTTATATGACATAAAGGATTAGTTTTCTTTGCTGCAAAACAGATTAACACAAAGTTAGTGACTCAGAATTGTACAAATGCATTATCTCCTGGAAGTGGGGTTAGGGGTGTAGACAAGCTTAGCTGGGCCCAGTGCTCATGAAGATGCTGTCAAGAAGAATCCACACCCAGACTCGTTCAAGGAGCTGACAGGATTGTAGGTAAAATACAATGTGGAGACATTAAGGGGAAACCCAGACTTACGAAGGAAAGATTTAACATGTGTTTATCTCTCCTCCATCTAAGAACTCCATTGAAATTCCCTAAAGAATAAAAATGAGTAAAATAGTATAAATCAAAAAGAATACAAAAGATAAGTGAGGAGACAATAAATGACAACAGAGGTCAACAAAATTTTGGAAGTTAGAAGATGGGTTCATGGATCTGACAGACTGAATAGAGGAAGCTCAAATCCGGATGCCTTTAGAGGATGACAAAGAACAGAAGAGGAGAATTCACTACAGACTATCAGCATAAGAAGCAGATGCCAACTCTATTCTCACAAAGCCAATGCTTCTTTGAAAATAAGTACTATAGTATTCTCCTGGAAATGTGAGTGCCCACCGATTGAAATGCATACTATCCCATGAAATTAAGGAACGAACCACTGGAGAACATCCTTGGTACTCATCCTGAAAGGACTTCTCACAGACTCATTTCTGCTATCTCAAAGTTAATTCATAAGCTTGACAGTGGTTCTGCAGTGAATTTAATGGAAGAATAGACTGATGCTGATCAAAACTGGCCTTTGGCCCACCACATCTCATACTGTGCAACTCTTAGAAAAATTGGAGAATTTGTTCTCATTCACTTCCATAGGATGGTATTGCTCAGTCTGCAGTGATTTGTCCAGATATGCTTAAGAAGCAGCCTTTCTTTATCTTTAGAAGATTTAATTTTTATCTACTATCTAGAAAATCTCTCTTAAAACACTAGAGAAACAGAGACAGAGAGAGAGAGAGAGAGATGGAGAATATAACAAACCCCAACAGAAAATCAATGCTATAATATACACCTCCAGCAGTTTCTTATTAAATCAAAACTAACTAAGCTCAAAGTCAAAACACAATAGCTATGACAGATATGAGTGATAAAAGTGATCTTTGTCTTGATGCTGTCTCGCTTCTTCATGATATTCCCCTCTTAAATATGTGTATATATCTGACTTGTGCCCTATTCACTCTGCAAATTTTTCTCTGATGTACTTTGACTCTTTCCATTTATTAACTTTTCTTTCTTTCTAGTTAAGGGCTAAGTATTCACTGAATATTTTTATATATAACAAAAAATATTCACTTTGGAATAATGACCTATGGAGAAAGATCAGTACTGTAAATTTAATTAAAATTGACAGGTAGGTGAAACGTTTTCTCTCTCTAAGAATTTGAGGAAACCCAAGTAAAATTAAACCAGAGGAATGACAAAATTTAAACATAAACTAAAACACATCAGCATAAAGTTTTCAGATTCTTGATATTCATATTAGCATTTGTAACATAGTAATATCATTATTAAAGTGAAAATTGGTGGTGGGCAATAATAGTAAAGATTTAATAGATCATGAGCAATCATGAACTGTAAATACTTTTTAATGCCAAGTTAAGAGTTTACAAAGCCCATCAAATTCACCATATCTACAAAAGTTACTGGAGTTATCTTTTACTCTACCATACATGTTAACATGTAGTAGAGAAAAGGAAGACTATATCCATTGTAAAGAAAGAAAGAATATGACACAAAAACATTAAACTTTCATTTGGATAGATTTCTCTGTGCATCAAGGCAATCGATGTATTAGTTGAATATCCCCCAAGTGTGGCTTTCACTTTTTATTTCAGTTAGTGAATCCCACATCCATTGGAGATGGCTGTACAGATGTAATTACTACTCAATAAATATCATTTATTTATTTATTTATTTATTGCCACTCTAATAAAATGAATGTTCAACAGAAACAACATATTTTTCTACCTTAGTAATATGAAAACCCAGCCCCCTGTTTAAATTCAACATGAATAAGTGAATGAACAAATAAATTGAGGGCAAATTCTTTCAGAAAAATCTCCTCTATACACTTTTAGCTTTAAGGTACCAACATATAAAGTCTTCTGACATTTGATTAATTAAATAATCATGAAGAAAGTAGATTTAATAATGAATTTAAAAACTGGTAATTTCTCTTTAAATGGCTCTTTGAGTTTTATTTTAGGAAAAATAAAACAAATATTCATAACAAAATAATGAGTGAATAACAATGGTTAATATACTGTGTATCATTACCTTCAAACTAGCTATTTAGAGTACAAAACATAAATCAAAAAAAGTTCTTGTAAAAAAGAAGCAAACAGATAATAACACAAAGCTTTCTTTTCAATGAGCTAAGAGAAACTTGTAGTAAAAATGAAATTAACAAATTAGCATATATATTAAAATAGTTTTGAGTTTTTATTCTTCTCTTAACAAGCAGACAGGATATATGATTCAGTGCAAGAAGGTTGTCATTTGTAATGTTTGCTAACATAAACCCAAGTTACCAATCCTCATTCTGATATTAAGTGGTACTTACCCATTGCCAGTAACTCCCTTTGACTGAGTCACCATCAGGGCACCAATAGTCACATTCAGAACATTCTCCAGTACGCCAGTCTGTTGAGCAGTGATGATTTGGTGAGCCAAACTTTGCAATTTGTTACTTGATAGGAGTGGAATTAGTCCAGTCCTCTTCGGTGCTGGCAGATCACCAATTTCAAAGACAATCACTTTTGAGGCAATTTCCATTGTAGTTGGTGGGGAGTCCTTGTAGGAACTCATTTCCATCATGAGAGGCCTACGCTGACCAACTTTTCTAGGACTGGCACAAGTCACAGTTGGACATTTGCGTTTTCTCTTTGCTTTACTATCAGCAATGGCCTTTAGGGTTCTTTCATTTCCAGGCATCTCATGAGTAAATCTGATTTGATTTTGATCAATCTGTAAGAAGTTAGCAACTTTTTCAAGTAACACAACTTCCCAGCCCTTTTCTAGGACTGAAAATGTCACAGTGAAGGCCAAATGGAGGGAAACATCTGTTCGTATTTCAATGGGCTCCTCTCCTTGTAGAACAACGTAAAAGAGGTTATCCACAATGCTGAAGTAGTTGGCACCAACAGACTCATCTAGCAATGATGAAGTTGATTGCACTAAAGTAGGTGGAATAAAACTGCCACGTAAGAAAACATGAGGGCTCTGGAGTTCATGATAGAATATAGCTAAGAGAACCTTGGAGGTACTTTTGTTTCCTATTAGAATAAAACGCAAAATTTGAGGAGTTTGATCAACAAAGCATACCTTGGTAATTTGTCTGGTAGGTAAAATGGAATAAAAGGCAGACACAGACTCAGAGGTTGAGCAAAGAGTATTATCATTTATACTACTAAATGTGTCAACAAAACCACTAGTAACTGATACAACTGGATATAACTTCTGGATTGCCCAAGGGCTATTGACACTATCAAGAGTTAAGACCACTTGGTCAGTCTGTTTGCAGATGAAGCCTTGTATCAATGGTTGGTATGTACATTTCTGTTCTTCTCTGAATGTACCTATAAAGGAAAATAAACAAGTAACGTATAATTCACAACCTCTCAACAATGATTTGCAATTTAATACTTCTATCATCATCTGTAACTTTATAGGCTATTTACTGAACTACTATAGAATATGTATAAAGCATTTATTGAACTTATTACCTAAGCATACCAGATATTAAGAGTACCAGATATTCACCAAAAAAATCTTGGTGAAAATATCAGAAGATATATGCAGTAAATAATAGTTATTTAACATATTTTAATTTTTGTGTACCGTGATATATGCAACTTAAAGTTAATGAAAATAATAGTTAAGTCTAAAGAAGAGTTAAGCAAGTAAAAGAATTAATATAGACATTGAGGCTTGTATTTTGAATGTCACTCCAAGCCTCGCGCACTCTGAAGCAGGGCTTTTGGAAGCGACTGGAACCTGCAGGCACTGTACTCACTTCTGAATTAATCCGTGGATGAGTTTGTACCTGAATGTGCTATTTAGAGGTAGGTCCTGGTTAGAAAAGGCAGGTCATGGGTGGTGTAAGCTGGAATGGTTTGTCTCCCTACCCTGTCCCTCCCTTCTCTCTCTGCTTCCTGGCAACCATGATGTGAGCCACTTTTTCCCGCAAGACTCTTCCTTCGTGCCCTGACTGCTTCGCGGCCAGCTGACTATGGACTGAAATCATGAGCATAATAATCCTCTCTGCCTTTAAGTGTCAGATGTCAGGTATTCTGTCTCAGCAAGGAAACCGGCTAATATAATAGAAAGAAACACTAAAAGCTCTTGAAAAAAACAAACAGTATTACTCTCACACACAATATAGCACTTAATCCAAAAAGGTGGGTATTTCTCCCCAATAGTAACCAGTTCTAAACCAGAGAACAATTGGATACCATACAATTTAACTCAGTTTTAATACTATTTGGTGTTGGCATCAGACCCAATAGGTTAAGGTTAATCTCACAGACTCCCCCCCACTTCAGGTGCCGGTTATAAATTCCATGTCGTGATCTGTACTTCTGACTAACAAGCTAAAATAAGGGTGCCTCTGAACTTCTCCTTAGGTTCCGAAGCTCAGAGAACTAAGGGAAATACCTTATTTATCTTTATCTATTTACTATAAAAGATATCACAAGAGATAAATGAACACCCCGATGGAAGAGATGCAAAGGGCCAAGTATGTCGGAAGGATCATGGAGCTCCTGTGCCCTTCTCAGGAAGCCATCCACCACGCAACGACATGTCCAGGCACCTGGACACTCTCCAAAGCGTGCCTGGGCTTTCACAGAGGCTTCATTATGAAGGCAGGATTAATTAAATAATTAAGTAATTGGCCCCTGGAGCCCGACTCAACCTTCATTCCCTATCCCCTACTTTGTTGCGAAAGATGGGATTAAAAATTCAATCTTGCAGTCGTATCACTGGTTTATGATATGGCATGATGGTTCATGCCTATAATCCCAGCACTATAGGAAGCCAAGGCAGGATAATCACAAGTGAGTGCCCAGCCTGGGCAACTCAGCAGTTTAGTGAGACTGTGTGGCAAAATTAGAAATTTTTAAAAAGGTCTTGGGATATAGCTCTGTGTAAAGGCCTTGGTAGCTATTCCTTGTATGAAGGTATGTGGGGGTCACTTGAATAGGACCAAAATTTTTTTTAAAACCCATTAATTTCAGAGCTCTATGTCAGAAGTTTCTGTCACTCAGGAAGCAACAAAGGTCTTAGGAGTTCTGGGTTAGGAGCTCTGAATGTTAGAACAAAATATTTTTCTAACATCCATATCTAAAATAGTTTTAGGATCTCTACCTAAAAAAACAATAACAGACACATACATATGTATTTTTTATAACACATTGTCACTGCTCTATCACAAAAAAAGGAAAAAGGAGAAATGGACTCAAATTAATGGAAAACAAGGGGACTAGAACAGAGAATTAATGGAGGTTTGTTAATATTGAAAATATGTATCGTGATCAGAGAGTGAAAGAATGTGTTATACCATAGGTTTTTCTCATACTCTCTTACATATAAAGAATAAAGAAATACAAGAACAGAGAAAGAAGAAAATCATAATTTGGGAAATTGTTGACATTAAATAGAACTCAAGTGAAGGCTAATCAGGCTAATGAACACATTTCAAAGAAACTTTATTCATGATTGCCATCATTCTTTATCCCCTTATCCGTGAACAGAGAAGAAATCTTGTTTTTTTTTTTTTTTTTTGAGTTTATTGGTACATTTAGGGATACAGTACAGTTACATTCATTGTTGGGATCATGTACCTTTACATGGCAAGTCTTGATTCTCATTTTTTCCCCTTACCTCTGCCCTCCCTTCACCCCCTCCTCCCCTCCCCATCTACAAACACTTTATTTTCATCTTTTCATTCTCTCACATTTTTTTCTTTTCCCTTTTTGTTCTTCCCCTACGTATCACACCTTCCCTACACCTTTAGCTCCTTTCCTCCCATTTCTAAATGTCAGTAATCTTATTAGAATCTTATGCATTGTTGCAGAATATTCACACCAGGAAGAAATCTTGTTTTAAACCCACAGGGAGGACATTTCACCGTCCAACAAAGATTTCCTTTTAATTTAAAATTGATATTCACAAAGTCTTCTTGCATTTTCTAGATATTTTTAATTTAGTTCAAGTTCTTTGAAGTAGCGGAAGGAATGGAACAGAAAAAACAAAAATCAAACTATTTTTGATGCTAGAAATACTACATTCAAAGATGAGCTAGGCTTTTCCTACACACTTCCTTCCCAACAATATTGTTAGAAACGTGTGCCAGAGTTGCCCATGTTGTCCAAATTTAACTACCAAAATATTACTTCAAACCATAATTTTACAACAATTACAGCAATGATGGTAAGAAAAATAAATAAATCACAGCAAATTAGAAAACACTTCAGAATGAATAACAAGGAAAATTTTAACATGTCCATATTTGTGGAATATGGTTAAAATAGTGCCTCCAGAGAAATTTATGGTATTAAATGTCTATATAAGAAAAAATTAACTAAAAGCAATGTCCTATAGTATTCTTTAAGAATTTAGATAAAAAGTCTAAGGGACAAGATGGTGACTATAGTTAATAGCACTGTCAGCTATATTTGTAATCGGCTAAGAGAGCAGATCTTAAATATTTTTAACATATACAGTCACAAAATAACTGGCAATGTGTATCTTAATTAACTCAATAATGGCAATAATTTCACAATGCATATACATATCAAAATATCATATTGCATACTCTAAATGTATACAATTATTTTTATAGTTATATCTCAGTGCTGGAAGAGATGAAGGACTTACATTTCAAGAGATAAAAAAAGAATTCAGAAAAAATAGCACAGCAAATGCAAATAGAAGAAAATAGTAAATAAGATGAAAAAAATCAATGACATAAAAAGAAACAGCTATCACAACAAAATAAAAGTTTGTAGCTAAAGTAGACAAAGTTTTTGAAAACTGACACTAGATAAAATAAATCTTTGACTCTTAAATAAATTGGACTTCTTAAATTGAATGTGAAATCATTAATTTAAATAAAAATTCAATTATCAAATTCAAAAGAATTCATTTGTATGCAATATTTTTCTCCCTATGGACCTATAATATTATAAATTTGATATTAAATTAAGAATTATTTGCAAGTTGAATAGAAGAGCACACATATGATCCCAGCACTTTGAGGGTCTAAGGAAACAGGATCACAAGCTCAAGTCCAGCCTGGGTAACTTAGTGACTTAACGAGACCCTGTCTCAAAAGAAAAACTAAAAAGAAAGAAAAAGCCTGGCGATGCAGTTTGTTGTGAAGCCCCTGAGTCCAATCTCTAGTATAGAAAAAAAATAAAAGAAAAAAGAATTGTTTTCAAAAGCATGGCTCCGGTAGAAGGAAACTCATTGCATGATCTTACTGGTTATACAAATTGGGCCTTGAGTTGTTGATGACCAATCTCTAGTTATACCTTTTCCAAATGAGAAAATTAGAAGGTTTCCCTATGGAAAATCATGTAGTCACATAGGTTTCCCTTTTCTAAACTCTACATTTCACTGTCTTAGGTTTTACACATTTTCCAGCTATGCTGATATCACTGCTTAATCATTCATATTCAATCCAATTTTCCAGATCTCTGGCTCTTGTTCTTCCTGGTTCTTATCTAAGACATATAATATCTTTTAAAGTGATCTCTACAGGTTGCTAAACTTAAGAATTGTCCCTAAATAAAATAAGCATTCTCTTAGTTGCTATATTTCTAAATCATTCAACTATACATCATTTAATAAATTACATAACTTAGTAAGAATCTCTGCCCTTAAGGGATTATTGCTCAAGGACAGAGGCTATATATCACATTTAAATTACCACTAGATTTAACATTCTACCTCAGACGTAGTACATGATTCTTAATATGGAATCTCTGGTTGTTATATATTATTCCTTTCATAATTCTTATTCTTCAAGTCATTTTTGTACTGTATATTCTTTCTAGGTAATTTGTTATATGACTATAACTAAAATAATTCTTAAATCAACTCAAAATAACAATACTCACAATCATAATACAAATTTTGTTAATCAGTTGCACAAATGATTTGTCCACAACAGGCTCTGCTGTGATAAAATATTTTTTGAGTCATTCACTCATATATTAAATAAATACACAAGGGAAACATGAATTTTTCTTTCCATCTTTTGTTTCTTATGATGTGTTTTCTAAGGATCAAATAACAAAAGTGGGTCATTTATAATACGATTCAAGTATTCTTTCAGAGCTTTACCTGTAGAATATGTACCTTTGAAGAGGTCCAGTAATTAAGTTCTTTTCATTTATTTATTTTTACATGTTCCATCGAGAAGTCAGTCTGCTACAAAGTCTGATCCCCAAATCATCTCCAGCCTCAGGATCCAAAGCCTCTACTCATTAATTAAGCAGTTACATGGACAGAGAAGAATGTGACTGATTACTCATGCTGGAATGTCAACATAGAGAAACCAAGATCTTGTGCA